CAAATTGAAAATAAATAATATAACTAAAAGAGCTTTATGGTAAAATTACCAAAAAAAAAGTATTGAAGTCCACAGGCCTTTTTAAAAACAAGCAAAAATTTGGATTTTTTTTTTCGTAGGTTTTCTTACAATTACTCAAAAACTGCTGACGCCAAAAATTTTTTTAACTCCAGATCCGAGAATTAGAAACTTGAAGCTTCAATTTCCTTTTCTTCAATTCCCTCTACGTTAATTTCGGTCCAAGTTACAGCTCTTTGAAAATCATAAAAAAAATTGGAATTTTTTAATATCCCTTAATTTTTGTGACTAGTGTATATAGGGTGTCCGGTTCATGTTTCAAAAAAACTTGCCTGCAATGTGGGTTGTTCATTTAATATTTTTTTCTGAAACCTCCCGTTTTCGAGATACAGTGTGTTGAAGTTGAAATACAACAGTAGATGCTTAAATTGTCCCCCATTTGCTTCTATGCAACTTAATTTTTCTCGAAAATCGTACATGATGATACCCAATTTCAACAAGTATACCTTTTTTTTGGAGTATGCTTTAGAGTTTACAAAACCGCATGTAACAAACATTTTTAACATGATTAACATTTTTTTTTTCGATTAATTAATTACCTGTATCGGCGACACTGCTTTTCAGAAAGAACCCGTTTGCATATTGTTTTTAACACAAAGTTGATGTTTACTCCTGTACAAATTTTGACATTTTTATCTTTAACCGAGGAAAACCATTTGGAAAATAAAAACTGAAACAGTGTATCTCAAAAACAGGGCATCTAAGAAAAAAACGTTATATGAACTTATTACCCCATTATTTTCCCATGAGGAACTTGCACACATTTCTTTTTAAACATGAACGGGACACGCTGTATATTAACGCAAAAATTTTGACTATGGCTTTTGTTATTTTTATTTAGGGTTTATATTTTCATCTCCACCAAATTTTTGACATATTGAGAACTTGTATTGTTTCACCTCTTCATTTTTGCATTTGGATGTTTCAATTTATTTTAATTTTTCAGGTAATGAACTACATAAATGACTTAATAGCCAGATACCAATAACTTCTTTGACCAATATTTTTGACATTTTGACGTTTAATAGCAATATAATTTATGCCGTACTTGCCGTGTATAAATTGATTCATAATTAGCATTGATATATAATTTTCTTATATTCACAACTTTGGGTCCTTTGTAAAAATCATCAGCATATTTTATTGTTTATATTCTCCCGAGGTGAATATATAATGCACTTCCCTGTACAATGATACCATTTGTTACTTTGGCTCAACTAAGTCATTAACAAAATATTTAGGAGGTAATCATATCATTCTTGCCTTATGAGAAGTCTTCTTCAACTACCATTTTCAAACTGGATCAAATTTCCTGTTAATAAAACGTTACGATCGACAGCAAAACCGACAATGTCTGCAACAGTTTTCATATTGAAAAGATCATTAATGTATGAACTAAATGAAATAGGTCCCAAGACTGTGCCGTGTGGCACACCATACTTCATTGTTATCTCATGACTTTCAACGTTATTTATCTGGGACACTGTACTCGATTCCCAAAGGTAGTTTTTATAAACGAAGACATTTTTAATGGGTAAGTCTCACGAAATAAATATTGTTGGTCTTGTTTCATCGAGTGCCTCAAGAATTTTTGAAGTTACATTTGAAACAGCATCTTGTATAGAAAATTCTCTTTAAAACCGAAATATACTCGTATTTTGTAAATTTTTTTTACTGTTCTTTCAGATGTTTTTTTGGAATTACTAATAAGAGATGTAGGTCTATAATTAGACATACTCTTTTGAAATGCAGATGGACACTCGCCTGTAGAAAACAGCTTTATGCCAACGTATCTCGGCGTCAGAACACGCCTTTAATGTCACGACTATTCACCCCTTTTTATGTAGTATGTAAATTGAGAACAATTCCAGAGGTTCTGAATAAGTTTTAAACAATATTAATTATAATAAAAAGTATTATTAATTTCACGCAACGTTTTGTAGTTTCAATTTATTCAAGATTAATGCATTCTACTGAAAATTAAATATTCCTTTCCATGTTCATTAAAAACCCGAATATTGACTTATACATTTATATCCCTGGTAGCTGTTGCTGTGATACAAGTTATCAGAAGAGAAATATTGAGTTTCCCAAACAAATTCCATTTCATCTCGGGACAGAAAGAACCAATTTCTCAGGGTGAAGTCTACATTTCATTTTTTCCACGCATCTGTCGGCCACTCGGTCAAAATGTATGCGCGAACCCGTCCAATAGTTTTTCCGACAACGGCGGAGATATTAATCATCGGGGGACCATCGCGGTGACGAACATCTGATCGCTTTTTTGTCTGTTTCCATTTTTCTCGCGCCGCGCCGACCCCTTTTTTGCCGGCCCGGTCTTCTTCCGGTACGTTAACGCCAATCTATCAGTTCTGTTGACTCTCGCATGTTTGATTTATTCGGTATACTTTATGTATCGTTTTTTATTGGGATTGTTATTGGATTTATCGGAGGAATTTGTCAACGCGTGCCTCACGCAGACCACCACATATTATTAATCGATGCGTGAGGCCGTCCTTGCTTGCTGTCCCCAAACGAAATATAAATCAGAGCCAGAAAGGCGACCAACCGGACACTTCGTTACTTATTCACAATAATGCGAAATATTTCCTTAAAATATACACAATTACGAATAAAAGCAGTTATCGCCCGCGGGCGATAAAGTCTCACTTAACGTTTGGAAAACTTATTCACAAAGATTGTTAATTACTTACAATGATGTTATATAAATGAAGATTGTTATAAAGTAACTTTATCAATCTGGTGTAAAATAAGCGATAAAGTGCCTGGTGGTGATAAAGTTCCACTTTACTCCCCCAAAAAAAATCGATAAAGTACGCATATCCGGTCATCCAATTCAATAGTGTCGTAACAACTCCCGTTAGTTGCACAGTAAACATAAGTAAAAGCAGTTAAAAGCGAATTTATCGCCAACAGGCGATAAAGTTTCACTTAACGTCCAAAAAAATTCTTTGAAATACATATGCTCGATCATCCAATTCAATAATTACACTCATAAAGCGATTTTATCACATGCTGGTTATAAACCTGCACTTAAATCAGAATCCTTGAAAAATTGCACTTAATGTTCAGGAAATTTGTCCATAACGTAGGTATATGTTTACACTCGATTGGACAATTTGTTAATTGTCAGTAATAATTCTGTAATAATGTTACTAAACAAGGCGATTATAAAGTGACTGTAACCTCTTTGGTCCAAAATAGAGCTTATTTACAACGTTCAGAAAACTTGTCGATAAAGTATGCTTTTACGCTTTACTGGACATTTTTTTAATATTTACAATCATGCTCTAATGGTTCTTGTTACAAACTTTCAAAACATAAAATAAAGCTGTTATAGGTAAGGTTATTTCATCGCCCTTAGCCTGAAATAGTTGCACCTTAAGAAAATTTGACGATAAAGTACACTTTTACGCCCGACTGGACATTGCCTTATTTATTTGCAATAATGTTGCCATAGTTCGCATTTTATAAACTAAATATAAATAATGGCAGGTATAAAGTGACTTTATCGCCCACTAGTGATAAACTTGCAATTGATGTTCGGGAAGTTGTCGATTGAGAACACTTTAACGCCGGATTGGACAATCATTTTGTAATAATTTCCCTTAAATACAAGTTAAACATAAATTGAGGTGGTTTTAAAATGATCTTATCACCCGAGGACCAAAGTAGGCTTGTTAGCAACAAAGTTGACCTTAACGTTCTTAAAACTTGTCGATAAAGTACACTTTTGCGCTAAATTGGATATTTTTTTAATTACAACAATTATGTAATAGATTTCGTTAAACACCTACAAAATAAGATTAAGGCAATTATAAAGTGATTTTATCGCCCGTAGCCCAAAATGTCGCCTATCAGAGATAAAATTGTACTTAACGCTCGTCGATAAACTACACTTTTACTCCCAAATGGACACTATAGTAATTATTTGCAATCATGTTAAAATAGTTCAAACTTTATATTTACCAAACGTAAATAAAATATATTTATCACTTATTAACGATAAAATTGCACTTGACGTCTGGAAAACTTGTCGATAAAGTACAATTTAACGCCCCGTAACACTTTCTGATTTTTTACAATAAAGTTAATGTTTTCACTAGGTAGTAAACAAACAAAGACGGTCACAAATAAAAATCGCCTGGTACATAGTGCTAATACCGTCAATCACTAGTTATAAAGAAAAGTAGAGACTATAGAGTTGCACTTAACGTCAAGAAAACTTGTCGATAAGAGACACTTTAACGCCCCATCGTAGATAAAGTACACGAATGAACTTCACAACTTTACTAATTATTGGAAAATCTCAAGGACCTGGTTTACAAGCGAACATAAGAAAATATTCATGCACTAAAATGAACAATTTTTTCTCGCGTTTTACTAGCAAGCTACGAGTATTTACGCATATACAAAGTAAGCCAGACGGGCCGTTTTACGCTGCCGTAAAAGCGAGATGATCGCCTGACAACGGGAGCATCGAGGATTCAAACTACCCCACGGTATTTTTGCAAATGCCGAGCAGCCATCTGGTTCATTCATTCGCCGCAATGCTTGGGGTTACGCCGTATATGCCAAGACTTAATCTAGTATAAAGCTCCTTCTATCTAAATTACCTGCTCTCCATTTCACACAAAGTTTTAGCGCCTTTAAATCGAGACGCCGGGGGGTAGGGGCGGGGGTGTAAATATGGGGTTATCGGGCTGTGTTGCTTTGCCACCCAAATAAGTGTGTGTGTGTGTTACAAACTGGAAAGATTTATAATCAGTGGCGTTCTAGAGTAAACAACAATATCGAGGGAGACAAGTTTTCTACAATTTGGCGGATGCGCCAGTGTGTAACGTTTAATTTTTACCTTAAAAAAAGGGCATGTATATTATTCTGAAAACTGAAACACTCAGTATTTATAAGGTTTTATTTCCTATTTCTTTAAACATCTCTATCCATTTAAAATTTGTATTTTCATTCTAAAATTAACATCACACTGTATAGATAAGATTTGATCTTTTATGTTAAAAGGAAAAGGATATTCGTATAGTCCACCAATTGGGTTTTCCTTGAAGAGATTCCCTTTGCATTCCTAGCTAAAAAGTAATTTTATTAATAAAATAAATAACATTTTGAAAAACGTACCTTTTTATAACGGTAGACAGGAGTGTTTATCGTTCCTTGGAGTTTTTGTAGGCGGCAAGTGGCATCTCGAAACGCAAAAATGCTGGGACCCTGAAATAAAGATTAAAATAATAGTTTATAAATATAAATTTTGTATAACCTAATTCATTTCGTGATATGGTTTAGAGATTGTTTACGTATCTAACAATTAATTAACGTAGCTTACCTTAAAGTGTANAATAATCTCATTTTGGGACCAATTTACATAAAAAATGTTTCTAATGGTATAATAAATAGATGAATATTGCAAAACCAATCAAGGCATCATCAAACAAAGGAAAAAGGAACAATACTTTATGGTGGATTCGGTGATGGTTGGTGCTTATTGTACTTTTATTAGCTGCTAAAAAATAAGGGACGTCTGTTTGGATTAATGTGATGATACCATGGCGGAATTGTTATATTTAAACGTCTGTGAACTGTTAGAACTGCTGTACTTTCTCACATTCATATTACGAATACAACAGAGACATTTATTAACATAGTTAATGGTACTGATAGTGAAACTGAATTATTACATTTATTATAGCCGGTTCATATTGAATTATTTTGTTATGATATAGACAGTAATTATTTATTTTTAGATACTCTTTTTGTTTGATCGGCTATTTGTACCACAATGAAAAGCAAACATTTTAAATAAATAATCCCTTGTCTCGTGTTTTTTTTTTCTTTATTTACTGGGTATTTTGTTACCTGCGAACGAAATTCAAAAAATAAATGAAATAAAATATTACACCTAAAAGATCATTCAAGGGAGTATCACTATGATATATCGCGCACCTCAAAAAGTTATTGAGGTTTCGAAATTATGTCAAAATCTGTCAAAAATCACGGAAAAATTTCGGAAATTTTTTGGACCCTTTAATTTTTTGCATTAGTGTATTATTATTTACTTAATCTTTTAGAATTTGTAGTAATAAGGATCGAAAGTTATAAAATAAATTGAAACATTAATTTCACCTTTTAACAAAGTAGTCTTAATTTTCTTCTAACGGTAACATTTTCCTTTTCCAAAATTTTAGTCGAACCCCACTGAATTAAATGACCGTTTTCCCAAGCATGATCACAAATATTTTATGTCTCAAATTCTCTTTTCAATGAAATCTTTGTGCTCGTTTATTCTAACATTTACAGGTCGAGACGTATCTCGAACATAATGTTTATTGCATTCACAAGGTATGATATACATGTATTTTTTTTCAAAATTTTGAATATCATTATTTGGGCGAGTCGTTGACAAAAAAGTCCGTGAAGTATTAGTTGTCTGAAAAACTGTTCTAATGTTAAATTTGTTACCCATTCTCCTCAATTTTTCAGATAATATATAAATATATGGAATTTTTATTGTGGACGCGCTTTGTCTTTGTTGTTTGATAGAATTGATTTTACTTTCAATATTCTTGAAAACCCTTTCAACAAAATTCCCAGGGTACTGATTGTTTATTAGTACATTTTTTATCAATTTCAATTCATTATATAAAAAAGAATCGAACAGAACCATTTGGCTGTGTCGCACAAACATTTAATTACACCTTTCTTTATATCCAGCATGATGATTTGAATTAATTAGATATGTTAGTGTGAGTTGGTTTCCTATAAACTTGTTTCTAAAGAATTTTAATTTTTTTTATTTATTTAATTAAAATATCTAGAAAAGGTAATGCATTATTGTTTTCTATTTTCAAAGTTAATTTAATTGTTGATTCTTTGTTATTAATATTATCTAGAAAAATATTCAATTAATTAACAGTAAAAGATCAAATTTAAAAAATATCGTCTACAAGTGTTCACCAAATGATGTTTTTTACTTAAACTATTAACACAGTTTTCCTAAAAAAATCCATAAAAATATTATTTAGAATTGGTGATAATGAAGACTTCATGGCCATTATTAAATCTTATTAAGATTAATTTTTTTTAATTGAAGATGAACTGGTTTTTATACACAAAAATAATATTTCCTTTATTTAACTTGGTTGTACTAGTCAAATTGTTACAATTTATGGTAAGATGAATTAATGCAATGAATTTTTAGTAAACCATAAAGGTGTGGTGGCTTACTACAATGCGGATTTAAAATTTTTCTCTCATTATCTTGTTTATAGTATCCTATAAATTTTATTTTCTATTGACTTAATTTTGTATAATGTCCTTCATTAATTGAGTAATACATATATTTATTGTGTCGTATTTTGTTTTTTTTCCAGAATAACTGTAGTACTAATTTTGGCGCAATAAATAAAAAAAAAAACGAAAACTACGCCACAATTCCCGTCTGTTAGTGAAGAATTCTGCGCTGTTTGGATCAGTGTTTTGAAAACCTAACCCAACTATATACAATCCACCCTATCGCCTGGATCCGACCCTGGCCAAGTTATCATCGCCCTTTATTACCGAAGACAACCTAAATTTGTGCCTGCGGAAGGGCGCTCTGCCGCGAAGGTGTCTTCCGCGACAAGCCCAGAACCTGACGTCACTGTCACCCCTCGCTCCTCCATGATTTATTGATATCTTCGGTAATTACATCACTCCATAAGCCCATAACTTATTAGCAGGGAATAGATTAAATCTTTATATAAATTACTTCCACACAGCCAATACGGTGGGGGCACCACGGAATAGCAGGGGCGGCGCCATCGGTGGGATAAATAACCAATAGAAATATATTTTTTCACTGAAATTTTGATAAACGTCTATGTAGAAGTTTTTTTATAAATAGTTCTTACAAAAGACTATTTTTTGAAGAAAACAAGCTTTAAAATATTTTTAAATTTTTTATTTTTTTTAATTTTTTAGAAAAAATAGTTATTTTTTAACAAAAATCCTTTACAATACCGAACGACCATAAGTGTAATGGTGGTAAATTAGAGTTTTTTCTATTCAGTAGATACTAAAATGTTTTATCTATTTTCCTACTAGTTTCGGTTATTATGCCGTCATCAGGGAAGAAGAAAAGTGATAATCATTGAAAAAGAAATTGCTGCATAAACTATAATAATACCTATCACTATAATTTTAGTTTAAATACGAAAATATGGGTAAATTTTTAAAAAACTTTTAAGTCATTGTAACGGATTGAGGACAGACAATGTCATTATCAGTTTCTTTTCCAAAGATTGTCAATTTTGTTCTTCCCTGATGATAATTATTTTTAATAATAAAAGAATTACTGAAATTTATGTGGCGTCAAAGTGCAAAAAGAGCGAGTTCCCGAGCGGCTTCTGCCTAACCCTGGGACAATTTATTTGTAACGCTGTTTTGCACATTCTACTTTGTTAGTTGTAAAGAGCTATTTAAGAAACAAGTTGAAACTTTTTGAAATTTCTAGATTTCGATATGATTCTTTGAATAAATAGAACTTATATCAACGATATCAACTTCTAAAATGTGATAAACATGTAATTTCGCCAATTATTTGCAATTTGCCAACTTAGCGCCACTTCTTTCGAATTAGTTTTCTGATATTATCATTCTACATACCCTTCACCATCATCAAATAAAATGTCTACGAATATTTTTTTTTACGTTCTAACTCTAACTCGACTGGACTAAATACGTCAAAATATGTAGGGAGGACCCCATGAAAACCAGACCGGCCGGTGGTGGTAACTAGGCTACGTGGTGTTCGGCAATGACCGAATTCTAGATGAACTTGTGCCTAATCCCGGCCGGCCGACCCCCCCAGTGCCAGGGACTGCAATCACTGTCCCCGCCGGCAGTCGATATCTGGAGTAAAGCTGTGCCCGGTCTATCCGACTGGCCGCTCCTCTTTATCGATTCTTCATTATTTATACAAACGTCCTTATTATTCCGGTGCTGAGCTTTCCTTTTCTACTACTTACGGTACGACGGGGCCCCCCCGTTCCAGCCGCCAGGACCGTCTTCGAGGAGAACAAGAACAATTTCAATAAAACTAGATTATCTGCACGTCTTCATGTTAGGTTTACATTTTAAATGATTGGAAAGTGTGAAATTACATACTGCAATGTATAATTAATTGTAACTACTTACATGCTAATGTAATTTTATTTCTGAGTTAATTTTACATGAATATTAGCAATCTACATGTTTTCATCAACGATTTACCAAAGCGCAACAGATGTAAAATTACATTTTCAATGTAATTTTACTTCTGTTGGTTAATTTCATATGAATGAATGAGACAACAAAACGATATATACTTATATAATTTACGGGTGTAGTATTTTGTGTTTAATAAAATGTTAAACTACATGTTTAATGTAATTTTACTTCTGTGAGTTAATTTTACATCAATATTTAAATGTTTTCATGTTAAGTTTATAATGGAACGAATTACAAAAGTACGACTGGTGTAAAATTATATTTTCAATGTAATTTAAGTTCTTTGGTACAATAGGTGAAATTACATTTTACTTGTGTGCGTTAATTTTATTAAAACATCTCATGTGTCAAAATAATCAATATTCTTATGAATTTACTTCAAGTGGCAAAACGATGCAGTTCTTGTTTTCCTTATAGATTAAATAATACATTTTCACGTTCAGTTTATATTTTGAACCATTTACAGAAGTGTAAAATTACATGTTGATTGTTATGTAAAATTATGTATTTAATGTAATTTTATATGATACCAAAACAACCAGTATTCAAGTACATACTTTTACAAAACGATATAGTTCTTTTTATGAGTGTACTTGAAGCGACAAACCATTATGGCGTCAAATTGTATGTTTTTATATGAATGCTATAAAAAATATGTAAAATTACATACTAATGTAATTTTATTTCTGAGTTAATTTTACATGAATATTAACAATCTACATGTTTTCATCTACGATTTACACAAGCGCAACAGATGTAGAATTACATTTTCAATGTAATTTTACTTCTGTTGGTTAATTTCATATGAATGAACGTGGCATCAAAACGATATATACATACATACTTATATAATTTACGGGTGTAGTATTTTGTGTTTAATAAAATGTCAAATTACATGTTTAGTGTACTTTTACTTTTGCGAGTTAATTTTACATCAATATTTAAATGTTTTCATGTTAAGTTTACAATGGAACGAATTACAAAAGTACGACAGGTGTAAAATTACATTTTCAATGTAATTTAAGTTCTGTGGTACAATAGGTGTGAAATTACATTTTACTTCTGTGCGTTAATTTTATTGGAACATATCA